TAGCCATTCTAATTCTTCTTATGTGTCTATAACTAGAGTGTTATTGGTACTGCTTGCCTAAAGCAGTAGATAATTATAAAGGTAATTATTAAATATAGATACACAATGGTAAATGTGTCAAAGTGGAAGACAGCATTTCTTTTTGTCTCTGTTTCTGTGCAGTCACGCTCACTGAGCTGGCTTGTGGGCTGTCTGTGTCTAGCTGCTTTCCCCCTCATGCCTGTTGTGGGTAGAGAGCCTAACATACATCTGGTGTGAGTACTTCCTTTATTTGTATATATTTATCTGAATATTTACCGCAATATCCTATCACGGGAAAAACTGACAACCCAATTCATGCCAGGTTAGGTAGGTGAGTTTCAGTAAATTAGAACATCTGCAGAACAGATCAGGAAGATAAAATGTGACTGGAATCGGCATCATATTAGTGATGCAAATATCCATCACAATATTCAAATATAAAAACCCCAAAAAACTGTCGAGCCATGAGCATCCACCCCCAGTTAAAGGAAACTGAATAGACTTACGGTTAAAAGTTAAAAAGTCCCACGATGGGTACTTTCTCGATATATGAACAGACGGGAAATTTGAAAGTGGAACAACTGAAAACGAGGAATGATTAAACTGCTACACAATACCGTCTTTCCACAACGAGCTGTGTGTACAAACTATCCATGTTTTTGAAAGTACAGTAACACATCCTGTTTGTCAACTCAGTACCTGTGCAGGTCTGCTCGCTCTTTTCACCTCAGCTTGCTACCTCTGGTCATCTCGACGGAGGACACCGCTGCACCTCGGTGACAGGCCACAGTTTGTCGTACAGGTGACTACAGTACATGTCACTGTGGGCATATATATGTGTGTTTGTGTGTGTCACTGCATTTGCTAATACTGATTAATTACCTGTCAAACCCGGCAGATGCTCCTTGTTGCTGTGTGCGCATACGTGCCATCCCTCACACACTCCAGCCTGCAACAGAAACAGGGCCTACCCCTTCTTAATCAGATCATCAGTTGGAGCACATTAGGTGGGTTGCTTGCAAGTGGCCACAAGATACTTGGGATCTAGAATGGTTATAGCTGTTCTCGTCTATCATTCATGTTTACTTTTTAAATATTGATCGCATACGTAAGCTATACCTCAAAAGACGTTAAAACATCATATCGCTGACACCCAAATAACCTCTGACAACTCTTCTCTCTACAGCATCTTCTATATTTGTTCCTTTGCTGAGCTCAACACGACTTTTTCATCGACTCCTCAGCATATTCTTGTCTCTCACCTCCACCTACTTGCTGCTTAGCACTGGGTAGGACAACACATTGATGCTTTAGTTGTGTCTTTGCAGAGTTGCACCACCGCAGCAAAGCTGTAAAATGATATTTCTATTTTTGTCTCCCTCACAGGTCAGAGGCTTTGTTTCCCCCTGTGTTATCCTGATTAATGTTTGTGTGGATTAACATCGAACAGGACGCCTTGCTTGCTCAGGACATGTCTGGTAGGCAAGAGGTAAAGCCATTGTTTTTCCCTTTGTAATAGAAAACTTTTGCAAACCCAAAGGTTTGGGAAGCTATCATTTATGTATTTAATTGTGAAGGTCATATTTTCCGTTTTACTGATATAACTCCAATTCACAACGACAGTCACTTCACAGAGCTTTATATTGTAAGGTAAAAACCATACAATCTCAGAAAGAAAACCTCAGCAGTCAAGTGACATGAGGAAGCACTCGGTAATCGTGGAAAGCAAGAACCCCCTTTTAACAGGAAGAGAGGTCCGGCAGAACCAGGCTAAGGGAGAGGCTGTTTGCTATGAGCAGTTTGAGGATGAGGGGAAAGAGATGAGAATGAACAGAGCTTAGAGAGAACAGAAAATTCAAATTGCGGGAAAGAAAAGACAAAATTTAATAACATGCGGTAATGCCATATAAAATCACATGGAATTAAAAAGAAAGAGGTAATGCTCAGTGCATCATGGGAAATCTCCCAGCAGCCTACACTTCAAAAAAGAATATAGAAATATTTCTGGAGTGCTCAGGTGTTTTTCCTTTCCACTGATTTAGATGTCAGATGTTTTTTTTGTTTTGTTTTTTTGTTCATATTAAATCACAGTAATAAAAAGCTTTCACACACAAAATCCCAGCTTACCCACACAGGTCTTAAAGTCCGTGTCTCATTGTGGCTGGGTTTACAGATAGTTACAGTTTTTTGGGGGGGTTTTCTTTTTCCTCCAGTTATCCACCATCGATTTCTCTGCAAACATCGACATCACCAAGATTCGACAGCTGAAGCTGGATGACATCCGAAGGTCCTATTTTTTTGTATCCTTGTTAAGAGCAGTCGCAACAATGTTGGTTCGCCGAAGCACAGAAGTGCATTGGGCTCATTAGAGTCTGTGGGTGATGTTCAGGCTGGATTTGATCAAATAAGATGTAGTATTAAAAATTTAAAGTGTACAATCGGACAAAAAAAAGATCAACTTGGTTCATTCTCACATTGGGCATTACCTTGACTTCCCCTTTTCTTCAGGTATTTTTTATAATAACAGCATTTTTTGGCACAGGAAACATTGCGTCCATAAACAGGTATATGCATCATAGTATTTTTGTGTGAGTGTGAGAGTGTCATACAGGAAGGAGATGAGAAAAAAAAGTCAGTTCTGACAAATTTCTTTTCTATGCACTATATGTTTTGCACCAAACATAGAGTATGTTAGTGTGTATATTCTACAACACGAGGTCCATTTTCTTCTCTGAAAAGTTAAAGATTCTAGTCTGGTGTCTGTAGTCACTTTGTGTACTTCTGTTTTCCTTTGCCTAGTTTTGACCCAGCATCTGTTTATTGTTTCCTCACTGTTTTCAACCCTTTCATAATGGGAGGGTTGATGATGTGGAAGGTACTGTACTCTTAAACATTTCCTTTTTATGATATGTACTGTGCTTCCCCAAAAGGGGAAGCAGTCTTGCACATTATGACAAGTCATGATCTATTCATATTCTGCTTGAGAAGTAAGCTTAAATACGGTTTACCTGCCTTTCTTTTTCGCTCATGTTCATTTGTTTTAACAGCCATGGTAATGGTAAATGGCCTGCATTTGTATAGCGCTTTACTCAGTCCCTAAGGACCCCAAAGCGCTTTACACTACATTCAGTCATTCACCCATTCACACACACATTCACACAGTGACCTAGGCATGGCCTAGCACATTAATTTCTGTATCTTTTTTTACATTTATTGTACAGAGAATTTAGGCAGACAGATTTGTAATAGAAATTTTAGCATCATACTTCTTAACGAGTTTGTATAATAATGTGTTTATTTCGAGTCATTTCATAGAATCCTACATTTCCTTAAATTGTCATCTGTTCTTGCAGGTTATCATTCCATTCATCATAGTGATGTGTACATTTGAGACCATCCAAGTTGCAACACAGCTGTCATCAAGGAGGTAACACTTCGCTTCTTCATCTAAAATTATAAATTTAGTCTTTTAATTCTTGAATTGACTCTTTGAATTTGTTGGAAACGTTGAATCACTGATCTGATTTTGTCTGTAGAGTTAAAGTATGTTCTGTTTGCTTTGTTAGACAGACCAGGCCAGACATGACTCTTAAACCTTGAGGCAGCTAAAATAACTATAGTAAATGGCCCAGTATCTTCTAGTTCCTCCTTCATTGTGCATGAAAAGGTTTAAATGCACTGACCAATGTGTGCTCCTTAATGTTTAAATCTCTCTTATTTCTATTTTGCAGTTTGTTCCTCATCGTCCTGGTTATCTCTGACTTGATGGCTCTGGTAATGCAGGTTTAATGTTGATCTTTTATAAAAGACTTTCTCTCGTCCACTGTTAAGCAAACTGCACATGAGGCTCAAATAGATTTTAACTCACTCTTGCTCTCCTCAGCATTTTTTCTTCATGGTGCAGGACTATGGCAGCTGGTTGGACATTGGCACAAGGTAATGAAACTTGGACATGCATTTAAAACCATGTCTTATCAATCTCTTGTTTTGGTGTCTGCAATGCATCGAAAATATGCTAAGCTTCCTCTGTCTTTTGCAGCATTAGTCACTATGTGATAGTGATGTCAATGACGATCTTTCTCATGTTGCTGAGTGTGGTTACACATATTCTCACTTCACAAAGACTCGTCCTGTGGAGGCAACGCAAGATGCACTTCCCCTAGTAAATGTTACCATGTGTCTTAAACAAGATATTTATCAGTGTACCTATTTAACTGTCTTATTTCAGATATGTTTTGTCATATTGTTTTAATTTTTTTATAGACGAAATGGAAAATAATCTTAGGAACCTAAATAATACGATACCTTTTTTGCAGAGTGGCCTAAGACCTTTGCACAGTACTGTGTTGTGTTCTTTGGTACAAATGCACTCAGTCTTAGTTTCATTTGTGAATTTGTAATAGGCTGCTGCAAATATGACTGTGAATTGGGTTTTTGATGAGGGTGTTGATTTGCAACATAATACAATGGGATGTTTTAACTTATTTTGACTACATGTGTATCAATAAAACTGAAGGATTGGAGTGCAAATGTGTGTTTAAGAGAATTTAATTGTCGCCTGAAAACTTGAGTTGCAAATTGTTGTGTCATGAACTGGCTGCGTGGAGGCAGATGAGGACCCAAACGCAAAACTCACGGAGACAGGAACTGAACTCAAAATCACTGCTTTATTGCAGGCCTTACAAAGAAACAGAACTAAACTGGGAATGCTAACAGAAGACAGAGGGAACACAGAAAGGCACACAGGTTCGGGGAGGAGACATTGACGATGCGACCCTGAACTGAGGGAGACATACACATAAATACACAGAGGGTTAACGAGGGAAGTGGGAGCACACGGGGAACACAGCTGACACAGATAATCGTAACGAGACAGGGCAGGACACATACTGACGAGAGACTGTCAAAGTAAAACAGGAAGTACACAGAGGTTCAGACAGGAGGAGAGAGAGCACAGACATAACGGGCTGGGGAAACATTGAATGAAACACAGGGGGTAATCAAATAAGGAACATCTTTAACAGAACCTAGGAACCACGGCATAAATAAGGAACAAAATACAAGAAAACTAAGAATGCTGGGCCAACATGGCCCAGGACCATGACATGTTGGCTTTTTCCATCATTTTAGACATTTGGTTGTCTTTGCAACAGTGCATATTAGTAAAGATGACCTATTTAAACAAAATCAAACTGACAGGGAATCTACTTAAGGAGTGACGAGAGGTTCTTTAACATCTAATGGATTTCCTGTTCTCCGTGAAGAGTGTGGTGTCAACATCTCTGGCAGAACCAGGGCCAGGAAGGTGCAGAAGTTGGTGGGTAATTGTGCAAAAAGGCTGGGGCAACAGTTTTTAGGACAAGGGTTCTTTTTGCAATGAAAACAAATGAAACAAATAATGTGGATTGCACAACACTGGACATTATATTCCTCATTTCCAGTTAATACTTGTACAGCTGCTGTTATTGTGTATATATATATATATATATATATATATCCATCCATCCATTCGCTTCCGCTTATCCTTTTCAGGGTCGCGGGGGGCGCTGGAGCCTATCCCAGCTGTCATAGGGCGAGAGGCGGGGTACACCCTGGACAGGTCGCCAGTCTGTCGCAGGGCTAACACACAGGGACAGACAACCATTCACACTCACATTCACTCGCACATTCATACCTAGTGGCAATTTAGATTTTCCAATTAACCTATCCCCACAAGCTGCATGTCTTTGGACGGTGGGAGGAAGCCGGAGTACCCGGAGAGAACCCACGCAAACTCCACACAGAAAGAGAACATGCAAACTCCACACAGAAAGACCCCGGCCTGATGTTGGAATTGAACTCAGGACCTTCTTGCTGTGCGGCAACAGTGCTAACCACCGTGCTGCCCCATATATATATATATATTTATATTTCTTCATACATTTTTATATATTTCTATACTGTGTATTGTGTATTTTGTTGTACAGTTATTTTATTTTCAACTTTAATTTATATATTTTATCTTATTCTTTCCCAGTTAAATTTACCCTTCATTCTAATTTGTGTTGTACAGTTATCTCATTTTTAACTTAATTTTTATATTTTATTTTATTTTATTCCTTCCAAGTTAAATTTACCCTTTTTAATTTTCATATTTATTTCCTATCTTATTCATAGCCTTTTTTCTTTAGGTCACGAGCAGTTGTCTAAGCATTTCACTGCATATCGTATTGTGTATGACTGTGTATGACTGAAATAAAAATTTGAATTTGAATTTGATTGAACACTTAAATATTTGGCCCTCTATGCACTAGTAGTGCAGTAGAGCTTTGTTTGTTCAAAAATAGACATCAGTTGGACTTAAAGCTAACTAGAAAAGTAAAAGATGAAGTAAATGCTCTTAAAATAAGTGCAAACCTAAATCAGAATATACCAGTATTCATTGTGGCAAAAGTATAACTGGGCAAATTCTATGTTTACTGTGTGCGGTTATACGCAGGATCAAATAAACCAACCTATAAAAAACCATCGATGTTGGACAGCGTTGGTAGGTAAATGTTTGCAGCATGCACACTAAGCTTGTGGTCGGAGTGATGTGAAGGTGTTTTCCTGTTTACCAAAGTGGACTGTGGTGTTTATTGGATCTTTTATGTTGACATCTTTGCAACTGGTGCAAAGTCAAAAGCTTGTGCTTGTGCTTATACAATGTGCTGTATATGTCATATGACTTGTAACTTGTCTTTGCACTTTGTTGTTACTAAACAAATCTGTCAACATCACAGCTAGCATTACCACATCCTGACTAACTTCTCTTTTGAATAAGCAAGTAGATGGCTTTGTCTAGCAAGTGCAAAAGCAAATGTTTCAAAGTTGTAACCAGGTTCAGAAGTATTTGGATGATGCCAAATACTGCCTCTCTACAGCAGAGTGGTGTTAGGATGTGAGTGCAGACTTTCAGCTTTGTTTAATAACTGGTTTCAAAAAATAATTCTTTACAAACATTAACTGTTCTGAACTCTAGAACTCCTCCACCCAGACATTGCCACATGCCATCACCCCTCCCTTGAGATTTTGCAGTCACCTTCAGTTTCTGCTTGTTTTGTGTTTTCACCCTTGTGAAAGTTTTTTCTTAACTTAGACACCTCAGCCACTCCAACCGATGTCTTCGATCTTTGAGGCCTTTTTGGTATCTTGAGCTCACCAGAGAATTCCTTATTTTAAAGAACGTAGCACACTGTTGATTTGTCCACTCCCAAAGTTTTTCTACTTTCTCTCCGATCTTTTTATTTTGTTTTTTCATCCTAATGATGACCCTCATATAAAGAATTCCAGTGAATGCCTACCAAATGAAATTTCAGTGCTAGGTCATTTTTCTGTTTAACATGTGATGGAATAAAGCAGATCTCACTTGACCACAAAATTACTTACCAGTCAAGTGTGCACATACTTTTAAAGCCTCTGAAAATGGTTCACTGTGTATAAAAATGACTGTAATTCTGAAAAAGTTAATGTAATACTTTAGCTAAACTTTTCTGGAAAAAAGCTGAAAGTCTGCACTATAATCACATCTTGCTTGTTTAATATAAAATCCACTATGTTAGTGTACAGAGGCAGAATTTAGAAAAACAAACAAACTGTGCCACTGTCCAAATACTAGTGGACTTAACTGTGTTCTT